TCTTTAAAATAAAAGGATTATTTTCCTCTAAGTTGACATTTGACCACAAAGGGGAGCCAGGGAGGAAGCAGGGAATCCAGGTTGGAGGGTATTGCAGTAATTGAGGTGATCTGCCAAGGAAACATGGTGACGGAGTGCTTACTCATTGGGCTTGCTCACTGCAAGATCACCAATTCAAAACCACTCAAGCTGCTCCACAGGGAAAGACAGGGCTTTCTACTCCTGTAAAACAATTAGTCTCGGGAACTCACAGGGGCATTTCTACCCTACCCTATTGGGTCACTGTGAATTGGCATAGACTGTATGGCAGTGAGTTTGATTTGCTAAAAAAATATGTATTTTTATTGGGGGTCCTTACAGTTCTTAAAACATTCCATACATCAATTGTATCAAGCATATTTGTACATATGTTGCCTTATCATTTTCTAAACATTTGAGCCCTTGGTTTCAGCTCTTTTCCTCCCCGCCCCCCCACCCTTGTGACCCCTTGATAAATTATAAATTATTGTTTTCATATCTTACACAGACAACTGTCTCCCTTTACCCACATTTCTCTTGTTCATCCCCCTGGTGGGGAGGGGGAATTATGCATTGATCATTGCAGTTGGTTCCTCCTTCGTCCCCTTCTCTCCCTACCTTCCCCCTACCCTCCTGGTATCAATATTCCCATTTCTGTACATGAGGGGTTTATCCGACCCAGTTTCTGTGTGCTGTGAGCTCTTATCTGTACCATTGTACATGCTCAGTCTAGCCAGAACTGAAAGGCAGGACTGGGGTCATGATAGTGGGAGGCAAGGAAACCTCAAAGAACCAGAGGAATATTGTGTTTCATCGGTGCTATACTGCATCCTGGTTGACTCATCCTTTCCTTGTGACCCTTCTGTGAGGGGATGTCCTATTGTTTACAGATGGGTTTTGGGTCTCTGCTCCAACCCTCCTCATTCTCAGCAATGTGGGTTTTTTTGGTCTTCTGGTTTTGTTTTGGGTTTTCTGGTTTTGTTTTGGGTTTTCTGGTGCCTGTTACCGGATTCCATTGACACCTCATGATCGCACAGGCTGGTGTGCTTATTCCATGTGGGCTTGTTGCTTCTCTGCTGGTTTAACTTCAAGCCTTTTAAGACCTCATATGCTATATCTTTTGATAGCCGGGCATCATCAGTTTTTTTAACCACATTTGCTTATGCACCCTTTTAGTCTTCAGTGATCATGTCAGGAGGAGTTTGGACATATTTTGATAGCAGAATCAACAGAATCTGCTGATTGGGTGATTGTGGCATGTAAACAGAAAAAAGAATCAAGAATGACTCCTTGGCCTAAATGGTAGATTTTAGTTGGTGGTTTGAGGAAGAAAATTGCCAAGTGGGCATGTTGAATAGGCAGTTATAAAAAAGGATCTGGAGTCAGGAAAGTGGTGACTTGGTGATAGGAATCCAGAGCTTGTCAGCATTTTCATGGAAATTAAGAGACAGGAGATTGAGAGCATCTAAGTACTGAGTGTAGATAGAGCAGTCCCAGGATGAAATTTTTCAAGGAGGAGGGCTTACAGTGAGAAAAAGCTAGCAAAGCAGTAGCCAGTAGGGTAGGAGGGGAACCTAGAAAAGTGACTTCCTGGAAGGAAGTCAAGGGCAAATCGATTGATAGCAAATGCTGCAGAGAGGTTAAGATGCGTGCTGAGAATTGGCCACCTCAGCACACTCCCAGTGATCTACACAGGTCCTTTGTGATCTCAGCAGGTGATCAGAGAGGTGTGATGGGCTCGAGAAACATGGAAAAAGTAGGTTGAAGCCCGGTGGAGAAGCAGGGAAGAAAAGGAACATAGAAAATGTTAGGACACACGTGCTAGCTTTGTAAGTAGCAGGTCTGTACAAAAACACCTTCACTTAGCCCAAGGTCATGTGTTGGTTGTCCAGTGTTCTAAATTTTGGAATGTAATGTCTTCACATGTTCATGTTTTAAAATTTATCTTTTTAGATGGGTCAAAATCCACTCGATAATGGAATTTTGAATTAAAAAAAAAAAAGTAAGAGCCCTAAAGATGCTCCAAGAACTCGTAGAGTTCTGTGGAACACAGTTGGAAACCATAATATCATCCAAAGGAGTGGAGTTCAGAGGTAAAAGTCAGCCAGTTGCAAAATAGGCTTAACAAAGATATTTTTAGGTTTCCAAGGGACTCTTGTTCATGTTCCTCAGATTGTAGTACCTATTATTCATGCAGGGTGACCACAGAACCATTTCTTTCATCAAACCTTTATTTATTTTGAGATCATTTGAATGTAAGGGATGTTTCCACATGGTATTTTTTTGCCATTTAAAATATCTTTTTCAAGAATATATTTTATTCTTGCCAAAGGAGGCAGATCATTTGGTACCCTCTGGCAAGGGAGGAAAAAAAGTGAAAAAAATTAAGACCTCATTGAAACTTTAGTTTATTCTGTCTTATTTATTTTTGGTAAGATGTTCTGATTTATCATGTTTTTTAATAGTTATATTTGACAAGATGGACAGCCTTCAATACTACGAGTTTTAGAGTACTTTTCTGTCTCTGCACTTGTTTAAAGCAAAAGCCCTCCCATCTCCTTTTCACTCAGAAGGAAGTAGACGAAATTATCATGCTTTATTGACTCTAAAATGTTCTAGATTAGAAGATGTATCAGTTTATGAATTGCTAAGCAAGAAAAGACTCATTGGAGGCTCACTGGTAGGATTCTCACCTTCCAGGCAGAGACATGGGTTCCTCTGATCGCTGGCTAGTGAGCCTTGTGTACAGATACCACCCATCTGTTGCTATGATATTGAACAGGTTTCAGCAGAATTTCTAGAGTAAGATGGACTGGAAGGAAGTTGGGTCATTTCCTTCCTAAAGTTATCCAATGAAAACTCTGTGAATTGCAAAGGCCAGATCCATAGGGTAGGTAGGGACGGTACAGAACTGGGTAGCAGAGCATTCAGATGTTGTGTTAGACAGGGTTCTCTAGAGATATAAAACCAAATTCCTGATAATTTAATATATTTATTTATAAAGATAATTAGATATATAACGAGAAGTGAACTGTTAAATCATATACAGATAAATATATAATACAAGAAATAAACAGTTAAACTAGAAAGCACTACAAATGGTTCAGTGCAACTCACATCCATGAGAGAAAGTTGAGAGACTAGCAGTCCTTCAAGTCTAGTCTGATGCCAGATCTTCCTCTATTTGTAGAGAGAGCTAGGCTATGTCAGCACAGCAGCCAATCACAAGGCAGGTCACCAACCGCCAGTCCCCAGCTCCAGAGAAGTCTTAAGGGACCTCAACTTACAGGGACACGGTCCACAGGCTAGGCGTCCCAGAGGTAGTGTAGCCTTTAAATTGAGGCACAGAACAAGCAAGGCAGCCACACACTGGTCCGATGATCACAGAGCGAGAGACAAGAAAGGCAAGGCTCACCAAGCCATTTATCTCTCTGCCCTTCAGTCAATCCCACCTGTGTTTATCAGCCAGGCTGGCACAATAAACTATCTCAGATGTGCAGGGGGTTTTAAGAGGTGGGTGGTGGCGGCGGCAACAACAACAACTCCATGGCAGTTAACAAAGCAACACAATGCTGCCAAGATGTGATAAGATGCTATCCATGAGAGAGATTAAATTTTGGAGGGAAAAGATCCATCACAGGATTGAGAGACAGGGCAAGGAGGTGTGAGCTCTCGTCCTGGTGCTGTTTCTAACTCGCTGTGGGACCCCAAGCAGGTCACTTAGACTTGCTTTCCTCAGGTCACTCCTATTGTGAAGGCAGTGCTTGGTCTCTCCCCTTCACAGGGTTGCAGTCAGGATGAAAGACGATGCAGGAGATGAAGTAGCTTGGAAAAGTGGAGTCTACTGGGTAAAGTCAAGGGTATTTATTCCATTTAAATTACTATATATACTCGAGTATAAGCTGACCTGAATATCCGCTGGGGCACCTGATTTTACCACAAAAACTGCATTAAAAATGTGCTTAAAAATGCAACTTATATACGAGTATATACAATAACTCTTAAGTCTGATTAGGCAACTTAGAACATTTCTTATCCGAGTTTTGCTTTCAGGTGTGAAGTAGAATTTTAGGTGTAGACATTTGAAAGTGTAATGGTTTCATCTGCTTAATGAATTTCATTTAATCCAAAATGAGTGTCTTCTTTACTGTAGTTTTGGAATTAAAGTAAAAGTAAATCTAAAGATAACATGTAAGACCCGCATGTTCTCATTATCTAGAATTAACAAGTGTTAGCATTAAGTCAGTGCTATGATCTTTTTAAAATTAAAAAAAATTCTTATGAAATCTCTATGACAGAAAAAAGGCAAGAACATAGTAATGAACACGCGTCGCCCATATGGGCGCAGCCTCCTCTACGGTAACAGTAAGCTATAGTTGCACAGCTGTCCAGTAGTCTAGTGAGAGCAGGCGCCTGCTCTCCTGTGGTCGTAAAAACTGCATATGCTGGTTAACGTGAATACTTTATTGTCAAACATGGCTAGGGCTTCTTTGTGCCGGCATAGCTTGATCCAAGTTTCCTCAGAATTCCACCTGTGACTTTGCACATTCAACGGTAGGACTCTAAAACAGAACACCTGCAAAATCATATTAATGTCGAGCCTATTCCATGCTAGAGGTTGTGCCACTTCTGGGTAGCTTGTCTTATTTTATAGATTTGGCAGACATAAATTGCTGAAGTTCACTTGTCTGAAATTCCACAGATACAGTATTTTTTGCTTATAATGTGCGAGTGTATAATGTGTATATGCTTAGAGTGCACATACACATATAACACACGTAATGCACTAATATTTGAGGGGGGTTGAGCAGTTTGCACCCCCATCAGAAACCATGTAGCATGCATGTATTTTGCATAAAACTACTGTATTAATTTGTGGAGCTAATGATTGTAATCAAGGTCTGCTGTATACCACAACTTGCATGTTCTGTATCATGCTGCCTCTATCCTTGCCAGTAATTATGGTTCTGTTTCTTTTGTAGGCAACATCCGGAGACCACATTTGAAGTATATGTTGAAGTGGCCTATTCTGGGAGAGGTGGCAAGCTTTCAGGTATTTGCATGTTTGATTGTGACGTGGTGTTTGCTAACCATATGAGATAGCCAAGCACATTTTAAACCAACATTATCTTTAGATGTACTTAAATGCTTTCCCCTTTAATTCATGCCAACTTCACCCTAGGAAGAATGGAGAATAAAGGCCATTGAAAAATTCAAATGAAGACTTACTGCCATTAAAGGACTGAAGAATGGCATTTCCCACTAGGTCTTGGTTTGCATCTTGAACAGATAACTAAAAGTCAATTATTTAGTGTGAAATATTGTCATCTTGCTAATGATGAAGGATTAGGATTAGGTTATAAATACAAAATGGTACAAAGGGAATTCTCTGCCACTAGACTGGAAAGAGAGATGCTTGAAATAGAATTTATTTAATACTTTTTGTGTTCTCTGGTAAAAGAAGGTTAGAGATTAGTTGGAGGAAACACCTCCTTGGGCGTTGGCATTGCAACTAGCTTGGCCATTTGTTCCTGGATGGAATGTGACTTAGTAGGGTTTCTGGTGTAGGTTGATTCTATTGCTTCTTGACCTAAAATCCTTCTTGGTTCATGAGAAAAATAACCATGTGACCCAGTGCTCTTTTTTTTTTCTTCCCCTGCCTAAAAGCGTATGTAAGGGAATAACTCTTGGCTTCGGGCGTGTGTATATGTGCGTGCATGTGGGCGCGCACATACACACATACACACACACACACACACACACAAACACACACACATCTTATTGGGTATTTATGGAAGGTGAATAATTTACTTGGATTAGAAACAGCAAAATCAAAGAGCCCAATGGTAATTCTGCTTTTAATTGGCTGTGCAACTTTGGACACATTTCTTTGTTTTCATTTCATTTAGATGTTAATAATCATGAACTAACCAACTTTTATTGAGTATCTGTTATCCCATTGGTGGCACAGTGGTTACACATGAAGTTGCTAACTGCAAGGTCAGTAATTTGAAACTACCAGCGGCTGACTGGGTGAAAGACTGCTTCTCTTTCTACTCTCAGAAAGAGTTACAGCCTTGGAATTTTTTTTTTTTAGTGCTAGATTGGTCACGTTCTTCTTTTTTAACAGTTTTATTGGTGCTTAATTCATGTATCATCAATTCATTAGTTCTATCATATCAGGAATTGTACAGTCATGACCACAATCAATTTTAGAACAATCCCCACCCCTTTTAAAAAAATAGTTTTATTAGGGGCTCATACAACTCATCGCAATTCACACATACATCAATTATGTAAAGTACATTTGTGCATTCATTGCCCTCATAATTCTCAAAAGATTTGCTCTCCAACTAAGCTCCTGGAATCAGCTCCTCATTTTTTCCCCTCCCTCCCCACTCCCTTCTCCCTAATGAACCCTTGATAATTTATGAATTATTATTTTGTCATATCTTGCCCTGTCCAATGTCTCCCTTCACCCACTTTTCTGTTGTCCATACCCCAGGGAGGAGGTTATA